GGGCACTGACGCGCCTTTATTTGAACGCCTCGCAGAGCGACTGGAGTGGGGCGGAGGGAAGCGGCGCTCGGGGAAGAAGCCAGAGGATGTCCCGGGACGGCGAGGAGGGCTGCGTGCCGGCCTAGACCCGCGGGAGAATCCGGCTCTCGGGTGCGGCGTGCGCGGCGCGGGCCGGGCGGCGCGGTGCGGTCCAGGCGGCGGCGGCGGGGGATGCGCTGCCGGCGCGGGAGCCGCGGGGAGGTGACCGCCAGTAAGTACCGCTGCCCTGTGCGGGGAGACAGCTCGCCCGGAGGGAAATCCGTATCGGGTCGGAGGAGTTTTAGTTAGGGCGTGTGCCTTGCCTTCGGGTTTCTCAGGATTTTCCTGATTGCTTGAACAAGGTAGTGAGGTTCCCTAAGGATACGGCCTCAGAGCTGCGAGGAAGTAATTACAGAATCAATTAGGTTGGAAAAGATTTCTGAGACCATCGAGTCCAACCTGTGACTGAACACCACCACGGCATGTCATGTCCAGTCTTTCCTTAAGCCCCTCAGGGACAGTGACTCCACCACCTCCCTGGGCAGCCCATTCCAATGTCTTATCATCCTTTCTGCGAAGAAATTTCTCCTGATGTCCACCCTAAACTCCCCCAGGCACAGCTTTTTATTGTGTCCTGTCGTCCTCTCACTGGTTATCTGGGAGAGGAGGTTGACCCCCAGCTAGCTACGACCTCCCTTCAGGTAGCTGTAGAGAGCAATAAGGTTACCCCTGAGCCTCCTCTTCTCCAGACCCTTCACTACAGTGAAATAACAGTTGAAACAGTTGCTCCTTTTGGTTCTCCTCTGTTTCTCTGGGTGACTGAGTGATACCTTAAGTGGCTTCTAAAAAGTGCCGTGCACAGCTTTATGTTAAAGGAAGCGTGCATCGATTTAAAATTGTTTTAATGTTCTAGGTTGTAAAAACCACGTTAGTGCATAAACTATTAGGAGCACTCAGCTCAGTCATGTTGGAGGCGAGCCAAGTGAAAATACACAGAATCACAGATTAGTTAGGGTTGGAAGGGACCTCTGGAGATCATCTAGTCCAAACTCCCTGCCAGGGTAGGGTCACCTAGAGCAGGTTGCACAGGAACATGCTCAGGTGGGTTTGGAATATCCCCAGAGAGGGAGACTCCACCACCTCCCTGGGGAACCTGTTCCAGTGGTCTCCCACCCTCAGTGTAAAGAAGTTCTCCCTCATGTTGAGATGAAACTTCTTGTGGTTTGGTTTATGGCGCTCAGCATCACTGAAAAGAGCCTGGCACTGTCTTCTAGGCATCTGCACTATTGAGATCTCTCAGTCTTCTCCAGACTAAACAGGCCCAGCTCCCACAATCACTTCTCACGAGATAGGGTTGAAGTGAAAAACAACAGTTGTTTCAGTAAAATATTTACATAGTTTCATCAGCTGTATACAGTTTTCCCTGATGTCTTTCCACACAGTGGTTGCGAGGCTTTAGTTTTGTAACTGTTCTATCTCTCTATTTAGCGTATTACATATGAATTGTAAATGAATAGGCTTAGATTACCAATTTGTTTCCAGAATATGTATTGCAAGGTAAACTGTGCTGCTTTGTTTTAGTAGAAGAAAGTATATTTTCTAAGCCTCATCCCTTAAAAGAACTTAATTGACTTTGTTCAGGCATGTGCACACCTGTATTGTGAAGTTATTAATGCTAATTGGGAGCCAAACATTTCACCTTGTAGAGTGAGGCTTCCTAGATATCTCCGTTAAAGCAGGCCTTGTAAGTGAAAATAACATTTATGTCAAAAGCTTCTAGCTATTTCTATATATCAAGTAGTGAAAAATCCTGTAATTCTTTCCTAAAAGTTGCATGTGGTAAAAATCAAAAACTTCTAAACCCATAATTGTTATAGTTGGGACACAAAAGGACCCTTTTGTTTTGGCACCCAACCCTAAGTTTTTAAAAGCCTGTTGTGCTGATACGTTACTTATGCTAAATTTGTACTTTAGTTAAAGTGGTCTTACATATAACTTTTTAAGATGGCATACGAAAAGCAGAAATTAAGTTGTAGTCAAATGTTTGTGTAATCAGTTGTTTAAATTGTTTTAAAAGAATAGAAAATTACAGTTTAACTTAAAACATTCTTGAATTATTATCCTGATGACGTCTATATGAAATATTCTAATACAGGACAAATTTCAGCTTGAAGTCCATTGGGAAAACCAGCTGTAGAATTCTATTTTCTAGAATTCTAGAGTGAATAATGATCACATCCACCAGAAAAGAATCGTTGCTTGGATATATAATTTAGAAATTTCTGTGTTTGATCAGCTGTATTGTTGGGGGTTTTGGGTTGGACTGGGGGTTTTTTTTGCTAGGTTTTTTTTTTATTTTAGAAGATTAAATAAAGGAACCTGTGGTGTAGTGTTTATTGGGGCTTTTTGGTGTGTTGATGTTTTGGTTTTCTTTAACCTGGTAGAAATAAGAGTATTTCAGTATCAAAGCAGATGAATCAAAGCCAAAAAAACATTTAGAAACTTATGTGGGTTTTAATTTGCTTTGGTTATTGTACCTCCATTCTAGTATATCTGTACAATTAAAAAATGTAGTGACTCAGACTACCTTATTTCGTATGCCTTATTAAATATGACTTTGTTTCCCAGTCTCTTTTTACTCTATATGTGCCCATTTAACCTCTTCCCTCACTCCCCCTCCTTCCTTTTATCATTTTTTAAATGCACAGACTGGATTTTTCAGTGTGTAGTGGAAGTTTTCTTACATTTGTGGCCTGCTGTTATTGGTGAAGGCTTGATTAAGCCCATGATTGTACCTGTGCAGTCTGTGCTGTTAGTGATGGACTTGGTAAGCGATGTCCAAATGAAACGAAGCAGTTCGCTGAGATCCTTGCCTTGGCAAGAATCAATTATGTAAAAAATTGCTTCGTTGGGAGGAACTTTTCTAAAAGAACCGAAATCAGCAACTTAAATCTGATAAAGCAGTGGCAGGTGATGTGGCAGATTTTTTGGTGATGTTTTTCAATAAATTAGTTCTCAAGGCAAAGACAGCCAAAGGAGCAGCAGAAGGTTTTCAGGACACTAGAATAACAGCTGCACGGAATCAGTCTGCATGACTGTTTAGTCTGGCATCTTGTCTCAGAAGTGGACACTAGTTTATGCATAGAAAAAAGAATAAAAACAATAACCTTTGTTAGGAAGTTACTGCTCTTCGGTGGAAGAGTTATTTTTGTTGTGTATGTTGTCAAATTAAAATTCTGAATATCTTTTTGCAGAGAATCAGAATGACTAAAAAAAGGAAACGTCAGGAAGATTTCCAGAAAGTGAAATTTAAAGTTGGGAAAAAAAAGCCTAAACTAGAGAATGCAACTGATACTACCTTCAAAACAAAGGCCATACAAATTCCAGAGCAGCTTAAAGAAGATGGAGTGCTTCCTACGCAAAATAGAAAACTTAACATCAAGGTATAGTGTGACATTGCATTCTGAAATTACAGAAAATTACTTGTCATTTACCTGGGTTTACTAGGTTTACCAGAGTTTAGGAAAAATATTTATTTTTAAAAAATCAAAGAGACTCCAGCAGGGTATCTGAATACAGCCTTGTTGTCCTTGACAATAATCTGACCCGTGAATTTAACGACTCAGTTTGCTGGACCACCATGTAACTCAGGGGAAAGGTTTTCATCAGTATGAAAAACCAGTGACACATTGATATAAGTGTCTAGGATTAACGTTCAATTTTTGAAACCCTTGGGATCATAACTTAAAGAGGCAGGGTTTTAAGAAGCAGACTTCCTGAAATGATGTTTCTAAAGAATCTTTTATTTCTTGGGGGGTGGTGGTGGTTTTGTTTTCCTTCCTTTGCGTTGTCTTCTGTCTCTTGCAGCTCTCTCCTTAAACTGAAGAAAGTTGTTGAGGCTGAGATTTTGTAGTTCTGCTTTCGAGAACAAGAGTGAGAGGACTTACTTTTGGTCATCCCTCTTTTGAGTCAGTAGGGTTGTGCATAAAGTTAAGAATGAGGAGTATCTAATGACCTGAAGGACAAGTCATAGTATCTTGTTTTTCCTGTCATTGAATTCTGATGATTTGTTCATTGCTGTGCTTTAAACTAATACTGTGTTTGTTCTCAACATATTTGCTGTTATGAACAGCAGTACATCATTAGAATAGATTCTGTATTTTTTGAGTGTTTAAGAAAAATGAGCTGGAAATAGTTGGGGAAGTTTAAAGAGTTTCAAATAATAATGATAGCAAGTATGTATGTTTGTTTCTTTTTAGGATCTGCTTTCACAGATGCATCACTACAGTCCTGGGGTTAAGCATAATGCACTTCTTGGACTCAAAGACCTCCTGTCTCAGTATCCCTTTGTAATTGATGCACACCTTTCCAATATAATAAGTGAGGTGGCAGCTGTGTTTACAGACAAAGATTCTGGTGTCAGAAGAGCAGCTGTTCACCTGCTGCAGTTCTTGGCTTCAAAAATAAGAGCGGAACAGATTGCTCCATTTTTTCCTTTGGTAAGTGCCCATCTCTCTAGTGCCATGACTCATATCAGTGAGGGAATTCAGGAAGATTCATTGAAAGTCTTGGACGTTTTATTGGAAGCATACCCAGCTCTTCTTACAGACCGCAGTGTTATATTGTTGAAGAATTTTGTAGAGCTTATTTCTCACCAGCAACTCTCAAAAAAACTGAAAAGCAGGGACAAACTTTCCTGGATGCTTTCTGTTAACCCAAATCGCAGAGTAACTTCTCAGCAGTGGAGGTTGAATGTACTTACCAGGCTCAAAAAGTTTCTCCAAGCAGTGGTAGATGGATCCAGTGAAATAGAGGATGAAGGGCTTCAAGAGCAAAAGGACAGCCCTCATTCTGTGAGGAACCCAATATGTATAAGTTGGAAGCTCCATGCAAATAATCAGCAACATATACAGCTGTTTGAAAATGGTGGCTTACGACCAAAGATCAACTCATCATTTAGACTGAGGTGAGAAAATGTTAACTAATTTGGGAATTAATGTCAATTTCGTGATCACGATTTAATTTGTTTGTTGTGGGATTGTCCCTTAGCTGTATTTTAGGACCTTTAATGTAATGTGCAGTCTTACTGCACAGGCTTGAAAATACCTAGCAGGTAACTGTGCTATGTGTATATCATGAACTTTCCAATTATAAAAGCTTTATTTTATGCTATTCGTAACAGTTTTGGATGACCAACTCTATTAGGGTGTTTTTGGAATGCAAACTGACTACTTGCAGGTTGTTGCAGGATATCCAACAGACCTAGGGACAAGCAGGCAAATTTCTTTACATTAAATGTAAGCTTGTTTATGATAATGAATTTTACTGAACTTTTGTACTTTTACCTTCAAGAGTCTATCATAAGCTTAGAAGTCTATTTTCTTTGACTATAGCTCCTTTTAAAAAGTACAGCATGGTAAGAAGTGTCTGGTGGTATGAAGTTCTGCTGAATTTCCAGTTCTAGATATTTTTAATCATGGGGGTTTATACCTTCACTGTGGATAAAAGATGTCTCATCTGAGACAGGCTGATGAATACGGAAGAAAGCGTAGTGTGCTTAGTGACAGAAGTGTCTGGGGGTTTTAGTAGTACTCTAAACAGATGTGAGCTGAAGTTAAAGGAGAAGTAAATAATTGTTTTTATTTCTTTTGCTCCTTTCTGATTCATCTGCTAGAGAGGAACCTCCCATCCCGCTTTATGGTACTTTTTATAGGTTGGCATCTTCATGTATATGCATTACTGTAGATATTAACATACCTGCTGGTAGGAGACCTGGAACAATGACTTGAAAAATGGAAGCAGGTTAGCTGTTACCTGTAGATACCAAGGTGGTTTGAAGAGAAACCACAATCTTTATTTGACTGCTGGAGAAGACTGAATAAAAGGTTCATTTTAGTGGTTATGTGTGAAATTCCAGTAGTGAAAAGTTGCTGTGGTGGTTTTTGTATTTGCCACTGAAATCTTTTCTAATAATCTAAAGATGTTTAACTCTGTCACTTCCAATCCCAAATTCATCTAGGAGATCAGTGGCAAAAAAAGGTTATAAACCCCACTGCCTAATCCATTGCTATGTCCATCTTATATTTTTGAATAAGTGAAGTGCAGGAGGAGAGGTGTTCTGTTTGAATAGCACAGGTGTTAGCCTGAATTAGCAAGTGTTTCCCATCTCTGTCATGGAGAGACAGACATGACCATCCATTACTGTTCTCCTAGGTTTCCTTTCTGTAGGTAGCATTACTTGTGGGAGGTATAGGCAACATACTAAGCTCAGTAAAATGTGCAGTTTATTCTCATAAAAGTGGTTTTTAGCATAGGTGTTCAGTCATGACCAACAGTATCAGCTGCAGGTAAAATTTTATCTGGAAACTAGGCTGGTGAAACCACCTTAAGGCAGGGGAAGGGTTCAGTGCTGAGCACAAAACAGTCTTATCGACTTCATCTTTGCAGTCAGAAGCACACAATTGTGGACCACTGTGTATCAGAGGATTCTTGTATTGTGCCCTGAGTGATATGCAGTGTGTGATATACCATGCTCTGTAATAGCTGAAGATGCATTGTATCCAAGGTCTAGGAAAGTAAACTTTACATCTGGTATCACCTGAACTGGATTCCGCTTTTCTGAGGAACTAGATTTTGGTGAAACGTCGTGATCCACTTCTGGTTATAAATACTTTCAAAAAAGATGTTTGCAAGCATGAGAAGGAGCCAGAAGAATATAAGGAAACATGGCTAGAATCCAAGGCGAGATTGGCAAAGCAAGCGGATGGCAGCAGAAAAGAAGAATAGAAAATGGAAGGATCATCTGCAGAAGGTACTAAAATGTTCTCATTTTATTGCAATTTTGTGTATTTTTGCTATATTTTTCACAAAGGGCCAGTACAGCTTGTTTTAGTGGTTATGTGTGCAATTCCAATAGTGAAAAGTTGCTGTGGTGGTTTTTGTATTTGCCGCTGAAAACTTTTCTAATAATCTAAAGATGTTTAATCCTCACTTCCAATCCCAACTGTGGCCTTTTATGGGCATTCCCAGGCCTTTGCTGTGGCCAGTACTGCAAGGACAGAAATTAGTTCTAATAAGAGGTGCAATACTCAGACAATGTGTGTGTGTGTATGTTTAAAGAAGTCCCAAACCATAAGTAACTATTTGCAGTGTTGTGTGCGTGTTGATGGCCTCATCACTAATACTGCAAGTAAGTTTCAACTTAGTTCTTTAAAAAGTAGGCTTCCAAACACCATAACAGTATGCTAAATTTTTAAAGTTCCTGTATCTTTCTAATCTTGCAAGTTCATTGGGTAGGGATGACACCTCATTGATAATCTAGTGGTTATGAAAAGAGATTTTCAGAATCAGTTTGGGGTATTAATGTTTAATAAAAAGAATAGATTCCGAGCTTCGAATGCTGGGTGATTCAATGATGCAAGTCTTAAGACTTAATTATCTTCTGTTGTGTGCTAGGTCTTCCTACTGTGTGTAAATTAAAATTGCAGTGAATTAGGAGATTGTTAGAATGTATCCTCTGCATTATGTGCTGACTGTGCTGTTTTTGCATCAAACTCATTTCAGGTGTGGAAAAATGGAAAGCCTTCACAACTTTTTGGATTGGAAGTGGTGCTGGAGAGAAACAGTAGACCTTCAGATTCTGCTAAGAAAGGGCAAAAGGAGGCTGGAGAGAAAAGCAAAGACTTGATAGGCCGAAATGGAAGCATATTCAATACCTATATGGTGTGACGTGTACATCAGATAGAAATGGAAAATGCAGTTCACTTGGTGTACTGGGTGTTCGCTGCAATCGGCAGTACACACAGAAAAGAAGGACAGTAACCTGGCTTAAATTGCAAGCCATAAAAACTTACGAACTTCCACTTACTTTTCCTATTTTAAGGAACAGCAAGTTGTTTCTTTATTTTCTGCTTCTTTTACACTTTCTCGACTTTGCTTTGCTGAATTTTTATCTTCTTAGTCAAATGACAGATATTTTACACGTTTTTCATTTGTTTGGTCCTGCTTTATAAAAGTAGCGGCATTTTAAAGAAAAATTACATCTTAAGGGGTATGCAAACGCTTTGCAACCCCTCTCAACAGTATTTCATACTGATATGAAGCTAATATGCTTTGTAGTGTTTCTAAGAGCCACCTTACTATTAAAGAATAGTGATAACAGATATGTGACAGATTAATTGACATCAAACCTTCCCAGTTCCAGTGAACCTGTATTGCTAAGGATATTGTACTGATCAAATAAATACTGGATAGATTACTATATATTTTGTCATCATCTGTTACTGGCACTTAGATTTTATTTACCACTTTTGTTGTTAACTTTGAATGTGTGGCATAGTCTTATCTTGAGAGATAGGGGCTTCTTTTTCAAGAGTGCATGAAAACTGAACTAAGTATTCTTACCCAAATGCTTTCAGCAGCTGGGAGGGAGTATCTCTTTTGGCATGAATTCTTCCATTTTCCATTACTTGTTTCAGAAAAGTACTGAAACGGTGTGTGTGCTACACTTTTGTAGGAACCTTCAGGTGTTGCCAGCTTCTTAGGTTTCAGGCCCTGTTCACTATTTAATGGGGAGATTTTTGTGTTCCAGAAGTAGATTGCTAGAGTTCCAGAGTTCTGCTGTAATATCAGGTATTCCTTGTGGAGAAATTATGAAAGACTACTACTTCAGAGCCATTTCAGCCAATTACTGACATTTCAGACTCTCAGCTGGGTGTGTAATCCTGTCATGGCATAGCATTTACAGGACAACCACACTTTTTCAATGAGGTCATAGTCTTGGCATCAACTGGCTTGTCCAGTGATGCTTTAGAATTCATTGTGGTTATAAGCGGAAGGTGGGATTGGTCTACTGTGTCTTAAGATGACTGAGGGTTAAAAAGTAAGATAGAAGCATTCATCCTAAACTCTTTACTGTAAGAAACTGGTGTCTGTTGCAGTGTCTGCAGCATAGAAAGGACATAAAGCAACAAAAAAGGGACAAATAAACTGATTTAAATTTACTAGATATGTTGGTTGCTGCAGTTAATAAATTAAGATAACTGATAGTTGTAGTAAGTGCTAACAATATTTTTTTTTCTTATGGCCAGTTATGTTTTCGCTTGTCCATTTATTTTGTGGAGCTTTAAATTCTCTCTCCTATCTTGCCTGCATTGAAAAAGAGCTTGTATTTATCTCACACTTTCTTTTTATTCCTTTTTCCTTCACCTTTTACAGTTTGTTAAAACCTAGGGGGTTTTTTGTTTTAGTCATTTTCTTGAGATACCAATTTCAACCAGAGAGAAATGACAGAATAAAATTTTCTCTTACATGCATTTTGTAGATGATTGCAACAACATGAGAAATGTAGCTTCATAGAAGGATATAACTAATTGGATAATTTAGAAATGACAGGATGAGTTTGGAAAACTGCTTTACCTCCTTCAATACAATATGAAATTAAAATACTTGTAAACAGAATTTCTCAGCATGTCTGTATAAAGAAAGCAAATAGTTTTCGGATCCTATTTTGAGTGTATATGTAAAGAAAAATCACTTGGAGAACACTGAAATAGAAAGGAATTTAACAGGAGGCTCAGTGTACCAATTTTATGTATGTTATGATAGGAATTCCGTGCTATGAATTAGAAAAAAAATCAAAACTATATCTTCATTTTTTTAATGTCTTTAAATGATCTTATCACATAATTCTAATAATTTTCCATCTAGTTGCTTTCCAGAGCATTATGGCTAAACATCAGGTCAGAACCAAAGTTATATTTTTGCAGAAATATTTTTTCCCTATTAATATGAAAACCATTGTGTTTATTATAGCTGGAGATAGTTATTACCTGTAATAAACCTCATGCCTTTGACAATACCTTCTAGTCAGTTGGATTATTTTGCTTTAAGGAGCTTGAAGATTTTTTTCTATTTTGTTGTGCTGAGTACAGTCAATTCTTACCTGTTGCTTGAAGGTAATATGATAATGCAAATCATATTTCTCCACTTAATAGACTTTACATATAACAATGGGGAAAGAAATACTGAAATCTAAGAAGTTATTACAGAGGTCCACAAACTTGCAGAGAAACTGGGGAGGTTTGTTGTAAATGGTTTGAATTCCCTTTCTTCCATACTGAAATATCTAGCAAGAAAGCCAGCAAAAAATTTAATGTGTTAAGAAAGTAATTTTTCCTGTTATTGAGAAATCAGGGAAGTGGTATTACTGTAACTTTTTTTTTAGAGGTGTGATCTTTATCTTTTATCTTTTTTTGCTTCTGTTGTTTAGGTCTCTGACAAGTGTAATGGACAGTGCAGAAAAAGGCCTGTCCTCGGCTGAAAACTTAAAAGGTTTTATTGAGATAATAATTCCATTACTGATTGAGTGCTGGATTGAAGCATCTCCTGCACAATCAGCTCCCATTCTTGGAAACCTTTTGGAATCAGAATCTCAGCAGCTTATGCAGCAAGTGCTTAGTATAATACATTTGTTGTGGAAGCTCACAAAGCGACATGATGGAACATACAAAATGGTAAGGGAGAAATGATCCGTGGCGTAATGATGACAGTTCTTTCTGTTTTGATTAGGGACTAGTGATTTGGTGATTGGAAGTAGTGAAAATACTTTATTAGGAGAGAAAAAGCCTAGGTGTTGAGTAGAATTTGAATTTGGATTTTGTTAAGTCTCTTACTCTAGAAAAGAATCTGTTGAACTGAGCAATGAGTTCACTTATAGTCTCCAGGAATCCTCCTTGACAGACTGCAACGCAAAAGCTTTTGAAACTGTAAGTGATATTGGAGAAGGGGAGCATTTTGTCTCCCAGATAACCTCTAGAATATAATTTTGAACAAAGTGTAGAACAGAGTTTGTTCCTTGTTTCTACGTGTTGAAACATTTTTTTATGTGTGGGTGGAAATGAACAAACCCTAAATGGTTGGAAAGCTAGGAGGTAAAGATGGTGTGAGATCCTGTAATTGCTTGGTGCAATTTGTGTTGCTGTGTCATGATTGGTAGGATCATAAGACATCAAAATCAAAACCTAAATAAGCATTTTGGAAAATATTCTTGAAGTTTTTTGACCTAGTTATTTTCTGTCTTTTACCCTGATAAATGAATTCCTTTTTTTTTTTGGGGGGGGGGGGGTGGTAACTTTTGCTGTTCTTCCAAAGATTTTGCATATTGAAAAGAGAACGTGATTTCCTACTGAGAGTAGTTGGAAGGAATGTCTTGACAACTCGTTGCTTTACCTGTGTGTACAACTGTAGGTTCCTTTGCTAAACAAAAAGCTACACATAGATGGCTTATTGGAAAATATTTGTGAAATCATTATATTAGACTAAAGTTACCCAACATATGTGACCTGAGTGTGTCTGAACATACATGTTCAGCGTGTCTGAACAAAATATGCTGTTCCCCTTGTTCCTTTTCCTCTTTTCTAGAGGGCCTCTTGGAAGCAGGCAAAAGGCAGGGACTTGACCAGGTGATTGTCTATGGCAGACTACTGCCCCTAGCCTTTTCCTTAAGGATACTGCAGAGCTAATGCCCTTAACCATAGAGTGCCTGCATTTTGGTCACATGAAAGACGTGCTCCTGTGTCAAGATGTGAACTGTTTTGGATACACACACAGTTGAGTTATAACCTTAGGATGTTTGAGGAGGGAAAAAAATTCTGAGGTTCATACAACTTGGTTTTTGTGGAGCATATTTCGTTTTAGATAAGATAAAGGGTTTATTTTGTCTTTTTCTTTTTAGTGGACTTTATATACAAAATACATTCAAGTGGCTCAGTTTCGAAATGAAAGCTTTGCTTATTTAATAGCTCTTGGGCTTACAGGCCAAAGTGGAAAACTCCTCTGAATATGCTTAGTGGAAAGCTATTGATCTTTGAAATAGTTTAATGGCCATCCTCTGTTCTTAATAGTTGAATATCTAAAAGATTATTCTGCCTGATAAATTTGATAGCAATGCAGGCTTTTTAAGTGAATTCTGCTAGACACTTTGTAGAATGGGGACTATGAGTGTCTGCTAACCCACAAAGTAAAATTGTTTTAAAATATTGAATCCTTTTCTGTAAGGATAGCTTTTCTACTGAAAAATGTTTTGTCAGTGGGCTTTCAAGTACAAGTACATAAATGGTAGGGAAAGATAAAAGCAGTATTGGAATGTATCTTAATGGAAAACTCAGGACAGTCACTGCAAATTAATCAGATTTCACTGTGATTTTAAGTACTGATAAATTGATACAAAGGCACTTTCAAATCACATCTATAACTGAGTTTAGTATTGCATATATCTACATTAAGAAAATATACTGGTCCAGTTGGGATTAAATGTTGCTCAGCTTAATTTACATCATCATTTCACTCCCTTGTTTTGTGGACCTGTGGGTTCATGCACAGGACTTCACATTTGCATCTGAAAGTAAATATATATATAAAATTTGGAAACAGAAGCTGATGTTCCTGTTTTTTATTCATTCCAGTAATGGATTTTGGAAAATGATTGTGTTGATATATTTCACTTACTCCCATGTTTTCTGTCTATCATCTGCTTTCCTTAACAGGAACTGTGGCTTCGAATGAATTACCTTGTTGATTTCAAGCACCACTTCATGCGTCATTTTCCTTATTCTGTACAAGAAACAGTAAAACACAAAAAGAAAGATTCATTCAAAGGGTAAGGATAAAATCAACATTGTGTAACAGCTTTTAATTTCATAAGAGAACTGAGGCAATGTGGAGTCATATGCTTTATCGAGTATCAAGGTTTTAATGTTGGAAAAGAAAACTTTTTATTGTGTATTGGTCGAAGATCTGTAGAAAAGTTTTTATAGGAAGGTAGCATTGCTTTCAATTGGAAAGTTTTGGTTGTTCTTTATAAAAGTATTGTATAGGAAGTCATCTGAATAGCCTCCAGTAGAAACTGAAATGCTACCTTGGGGAAATTATTGAAGTCTTTTTTTTTTTGAATATATTCTTTTATTGAACTCTTGATCTGGAATTTGCATATTACTGAATGATGTTTGTGTTAGTCTAACTAGTTTCATATTTCTGCGTGTTTTCTTCAGTTGACTGCTGAATTACATGAAAACATAGTTCAAACATTTTTTTTCATGTGCAGTCTTCTAGAGTTGCATTACAGGGCTGGGTAAGCACAGCTGGGAGGCGAGATGGGACACACTGTGGTATTCCTATATGGCAAAGCATATAGGAGAAGCCTATATGGAACAGGAGAAGCCAAACTCTTACGCATTTTTTCACTACTGAGTTATCAGAGTA